GACCTTTAAAGTCTTTGTCTTTTAAGACTTTAAAGTCTTTAAGCATTAGCGCGAGTTTATCATAATTTTTTAGGTCCCCCCCCAAAGTTTGGGGTTTAATCTCAATTTCAGACAATTATTAAAAAACAATATAAATGTCCCTCACTATCAAAGCCATTGCAAATATTAAAAAACACAGTAAACAATTAGTACACATATAATTACAATTAGTACACGTGTAATTACAATTAGTACATGTGTGCTAGTAAATGTAGTACAGTATGATTCCTTGAAAAACACGTATTTATTCACAAAAAAATTCTCAAAGACTCAAAGAAGTAGAAAAGCAAATATTTGGCCACCAAAACTACTAAACACACAAAAATTCAGTAGTTGGATATAATCACTTTTGACTAATCTGTCACGTTGAGGAAATTTTTATTGAGAGCAATTTTGTTTTCTACCAAATTGCTGAGGCACTCTTCATATGTGGCAGTTTGTTTTGACTGTTTTAACCAAATCATCTCTTGCCAGCAGAGAGCCAAAGAGGCCAACTGATTAGGATGCCAAACTGCAGGCTGGTGAGATAAGGGAAGGGTCAAAACAGAGTGAGAAGTGCCAAGGAAAAGCGGGGAGAGCTCAGGGCAATGCTTGAAACACATACGTCTCACCAACACTGAGTCAGTCTTCCTTCAACGGGTAGCAAATTCATCTTAGATCCAGACTTGGCCCTTAGGATGCAGCAGGACCACACTGACATATAACATAAAATTAGAGAAGATGTTCTGAATGGAAGAGTTCTCTATTATTATTTTTAAAGATATTACTTTTTTAAAAAGATTATTTCTTTGAGAGAGAGAGCGCATGCACGCACACAAGCAGGAGAGGGAGGGAGAATCTCAAGCAGATTCCATGCTGAGCGCAGAGCCCGACGCAGGGCTTGATCTCATGGCCCGAGCCAAAACCAAGAGTCGGACACTTAACTGACTGCACCACCCAGGCACCCCAGGACTTTATTTTTAAGTAATCTCTACGCCCAACATGAGGCCCAAACTCACAACCCAGAGATCAATAGTCATACACTCCACCAACTGAGCCAGCCAGCTGCCCCAAGAGTTCTCTAAAGAATGTTTTTTAGCATTGACATTATCTTCTTTATGCTAGGTATTTGCTTAGCAGACTTTTTTTCATACATGGTACAAATGCAAATTTCAAATTTCATTTTCCATATTCCCCTTTGACTTCTTATAAATTGTAAGTGGGGAAGTATTCTTAACCAATAAACTATTATTGTGTTTTTTAAAAAACCCCTTCCTGCTTTGTTTGGTGTTAGTGAAATGAGGATAATAGCATCTTCCACCAAAGAAATGATGGAATAATTAAGGGAATGTAAGTGAAGTATTTGAATTCCAGAGAAAATTCACTCTAACTTTATTATTTTCCTTTTCTAGATAAATGGGTAACTTACTCAGCTTAAATAGTAACTAATTGTTATGAATTTTCAAACTTGTTGCATTTGCATTTCTCATCCCAATACTAATTTCTGAGGTTAAAACTCCTACCTTAAAATCTTCAGAAATTTTGCTTACTTAACAAGCTTGCCAACAGCAGATTACCCATGCATCATCCAGTCTATCAGCCTTTAAAACAGGAAAGTGAATTTGGGGAATTCCATGCTAAAGCCGGAAGCCACTAAAGAACATCACGCCTTTTCTGGTTTTGATGTAATGATTTTGAAAGACTCCATGATGAAATGCTTTTATGTTTTTGGTTTTTTTTTTTTAGATTTTATTTATTTATTTGACAGTGAGAGAGGGAACACAAGAAGGGGGAGTAGGAGAGGGAGAAGCAGGCTTCCCACGGAGCAGGGAGCCCGATCCCAGGATCCTGGGATGACCTAAGCCAAAGGCAGACGTTCAACTGTCTGAGCCACCTAGGCGCCCCTAAAATGCTTTTATCCTAAAAACCGCACTTAGGGAGTGCCTGGGTGGCTCAGTCTGCTGAGCGACCAACTCTTGATTTTGCCTCAGGTCATGATCTCAGTGTCGTGGGATCCAGCCTGTGTCCCTCATCACAGAGGCAGCTTGTCCCTCTCCCTCTGTTCCTCCACTTCTCACCCTTGCTGGCACCTGCGCTCTTTCTCTTTCCCCCAAAATAAATAAATAAATAAATAAATAAAATCTTAAGGAAAAAAAAAAGACAGCCTTTCAAAAAAACAAACAAATCCCAAAAAACAAAACAAAAAAAACACAACTTGGTACCGTAGAAGAACCTAGAGGCTGGAGATCCGGTTCTTCTGGTCATGCCATTTATTAGATGAATAGCCTTAGAAAAGTTAGCTTCTCTGGGCCTTAATTTCTATTCTGCAAAACCGCCTTTCAGCTCTAAATTTCTGATCCTCTGCTTACTAGTTTATTTCTTCAGTATCTCATGGATTAATCAGGAGGAAATCTAGAGAAGAGCAAGAATTTTACCTGCATCATTTCATCAGTTTTGCCAGCTCACCCATCCTATTTCTACTTTTAAGCTGAGAACCTTTCCCTTGCTTGTGATCTTTCCCTCTTATGCACTTTATGAACAAATTATAATATTAATCACAAACACTTGTAGAGTGCTTTCCAAGTTTTATCAACCCCTTCTGCAAATACTCTGATTATTATCACAACACCTCAGGCTGGTAGGTATTATCTTCAGTTTACCTGGCTGGCCCAGAAAAGTTCAATGAATTAATTGTCCAAAGTCACACAGATAATAAGTTATGGGAACAAGCCTTCTGATTCCAAAGTCTATACTCTTTTCACAACACTACAGTTCCTGCTAGGAGCAGATCCTGATTTTGTGGAGACTGAGGTGTATACAATTTTGGTGGACATTTTCAAGAAAAGGAATACAAAATTACAATAAAGCACTAACATGATCCCGTGAACACATTGTTAGGGCCCCTCTCAGGGCCCTGGAAGGGGTCTATTCAAGTGCTTTTAGAATTAATCTTTAGGATTCAGTTTCATGGTTTTCCATGGTTATACAATTATTTAATGCTCACTATATGCCAGACTCTTAAGTAAAATACTATTTTTATTATCATAAAAACCCTATGAGGTAGGTACTATCCCTGTTTTACAGAGCAGAGAATGAGGCTTGGAGAGTAAAATAATTTGCCTAGGGATACAGCGCTTGTAAGTGCAAAGTGACAAAATTGGAACTGAGACCTGGCTCCTGGGTTGGTATTATAAACCTACCCCACTCTGTTCCTACATAAGCCTTCTTTTCGGGTTTCCTGGGAGTCAACTTATTCTACCACTTCCCACTGCATTCTATAGTTCTGGACCTGATAAGCTCATGTCTGAACCAGTCCCATTTTTCTCCCTAACTCAGTTCTCCTACCATCCTACTATGAATGCTGCTACCACCCTAACAATCCTAAAGCCCTGCGGTTCTAAATCCTGGCCACTGGGGTGGCCTGAATTGCCTTAATTCTCTGCATTTATCAAGTGAAAAGCAGTTACTGCTCATATGCGGCGCTTGGCCATAGATTATGTCTGTCTTCTGAGGTGTTGAACTATAACTGAAAACTTCCTTTGTGTGAAAGAGAGGCAGAGTGGGTGAAGGGAAAGTAACATTTACATCTCAGAAGCTGATCCCTCAACCCCCACTCCTCAATCTTAGTTCTTCATTTGCAAGACAAAACCTTAAGGCCAACCTCATGAGGCTGTGAGAATTAAGGGCAGAGAGGGCAGGGTTGGGGGCAACAGCAAGTGGTCATCAAATATTGGTTGATTTCTTCTGCCTGACTCAACCCTCCAAAGAACTTGTAAACTCATTGAAGGTAGGGGCCTTCATACATTTTTGGTATTTCCCAAAAGCTAACATAAGAGACACCTCATGATTATTCAAGCTGATCACTTAAAATGATACACTTCCAGTGTCTGGACTTGCTCAAGAATTTACAATGGCTCTTAGAACAAAATCAGGCTCTGGAGTCTGACTTTGGATGTTGGTCACTTACTCTGTGACCTCTGGAAAGTTACTTAACCTCTCTGAGCCTCAAGCCCCTTATTTGTAAAATGTTAATAATAGTTACCTACCTCAGAAGGTTATGAGGATAATTCAGGTGAACTGCTAAGTATATAATCAGTCCCTCAGAACTGCTAGCTCTAATTATATCCTGTCGCGAACATTTCAGTGTCCAGAAAAACTTGGCCTCTGCATTCTCGTTTCTCCATGTTTCCAACATACACACCTCCCTAGGGATCAGTCTCACCACCCTCTGACCTGCTCTTCTTTCCCGACTTCTGTGTTTAACACTCAGCATTCATCAAATGCCACAGGGGAGGCTCTGTATTAAGAAAGTTCCATCACTTCTCTCATCAAAAGTGCCCAGGAGGTTGGTTCTACTACTGTTGCCATTTTAGAGAACAGGAAACAGGCCCTGAGGGTTTGAGTGACTTCCCCGAGTTCACCGAACTCTGCGGAGGCCCCAGCCCGCGCGCTCTCACCGCCCGCCCCTTCGGCCTCTTCCCGGGCCCGAGGTGGCTCCACATCCATTCACACCCTGCCCAGTCCCTTCTCTTCCAGTCGCTTTCCTGCTCCTCCGCGCGCCCGTCGCCCCCCACACCTGAGTCAGGCCCCCGGGGGTACGCCCCATTCGTCCTTGGCGGCTTTTCCCTTTTCTCTGCCAGAGACTGAGGGGGAGGCCGGCGCCGATGTCCCGCACGCGTGTAGGTCACCGCGAACTCCTTGGACTGGGGACCAGAGGGGCCAGCTCCGCAGAGGAACACAGCAGCGCTGTGTCCGCCGCATAGCCGGGGAGTGGAGCGCGGGTCGTGCCGGGCCGCCGGTCACGTGGCGGGGAGGGGGCGCCGGCGCGCGTCAGAGCGCGGGCGGGCGCGCGCGCCTGAGAGCGTGTGGAGGCGCGAGTCGCGGTTCGGGCGTATGTATGGGGGGGGAGGGGGCGGCGGCCGGGAGGGCCGACTCCGCCCCCTGTGCGCATGCTCCGGCCCCCGGAGGATTATAAGGCAGCCCCGCGGGCCCGGCCCGACAAAGTGCTGGCGAGCTGCGACGTGACCTCCCGGCCGCGTGTGTGCCCGAGAGAGCGAACGAGGTAGCTGGCGAAGGACGCGACCTGGACCCTGGGCCCTGCGGGACTCCAGTCGTGTCACGTACACGCTTGGCGGCACGAACCGCGCATAACGGTTAGTTGGGTAACGGCCGGCGGCGGCGCTGGGCGCGGACCCCGCGGTGCCCCTGCCGCCCTGGCGGGTGGGAGGGAGCCTCGCGGAGGGGGGGGGGCGCGCAGACCTGGGTCTCGGGGGAGGGAGGCGGCCTGGTAGGGCCGTCGTGGCGGCGGGCAGCCGCTTAGCCCCGGAGCGCGGCGTTGGGGAAGGAGACCTTGAGGCGATGGGGACAGCGCCTCGCCCCGCCGAGCTGCGGCCCCGTAGTCAGGTGCGGGCCACCGGCCTGGCCGGGGAGTTGGGTTTGGGTGCCGGTGACCTTGGGCAAGTAGCTTTTCCCGTAGCGTTCAGGAGTCTCCTCAAGAGATGCTTTTGATTTGGAAAAGGGACGACGTGGGGCTGGTTCACTTGGTGCCTCCCGGCTCTCCTGGCCGCGTTCTGCTCCGAGGGAAGGGACTCGGGGCGGGAGTTATTTTGGACTCGTGGCATGCCCGCCCCAACCTCGGCCAGCCAATCCTTGCCCCACCTGGTGACTTGCGAGAGTGGTTTGGGGAGCCGCAGTTCCCGCAGCCAAGACATGACTGCAGGGTTCGAGGGGACTTTGCGGAGGGAACAGTGCAGCTGGCCGATTCCGGGACTGGTGCTGACGGGGACTCTTTGTCATTCAACCTGTGGCTGCGGAACATCGACTGCAGCGCCCTCGCGCTCCTGGTCTTGAAGGCGGCCCTGTGGGGAGGAATCTGAAGGATAGCGTTACACTTGGTCAGATGCACTCGTTTTGTTCCAAGTACATCCTTTTTTTCCACGTGCATTTTAAGCATTTCATGTCTTTGTCACGACTGATTTGGTGTGACAAGCAGTGGCCCAAACTACTTTGTAATTATTTTCGACCAAGAAACAAACGGATTTCTACTTGAGCCCGGTTTCCAGCGTTTGCTTACGAACTAGGCGCCTGATAGCAGTAGAATGTTTACAGAGCTACCCTTTACCATAACTAGTTTTGAAATTTTTTTTTTCAAAAGTTATTCCGGTTTCGAAATAAAATGCGTACACGTCAGTGCCCTGATAAAACAAATGTGGGCTTAGTAACTAGTGGAGTGTCGTGATAGGGTGAACTCTGAATTGTGTGAGAGTTTGGAAGAGTATGACTAAGAATTAGGCATTAATAAACAATGTCAGTGTCGTTTACCAGAACTATGAGTGAATTAGAGACTATGTATCTTCAGCTTTTTAGTTTGGTGTTAAGTAGTACCCATAAGTCCAAGTCTTATGCCCTGGAGTACAACTTTGCCTTCAAATTGCCATAGAAAATATCAGGAATTCATGACATCTAGCCTTTAGTATAGGTAATGGGTAAGTATTATTTAAAAGTTTAACATACTTGAGTAATTTAGGGTTTAAATAAATGCTGTTCTTTAATCATATTGCAGTGATTCTTGTTAAATATGCAAGTTAATGGTCTGGAAAGCATTTTGTGAGATTTTTATAGCTGAATAGGTTTAAAGGTTTGGTTTGTAAGCTTAACATAATAGGCTATAACATCCCTAAACAGATAAGAAAAGGATTAAAAAGGTCATAGGATGAAACCATTTGATAGTGTTTCAATAGTTTACATGTCTTTTTGTCTTCTAAATATTAATGCATATAATATAAACCCCGGAAAAGATCTTAATGACCAGCTAGTCAGATTCCCTTATTTTACAGATTAGGAAATTGAAGTTGGAGTAAGTTAAGTGACTTAACATCTTAGGTGTGAAAACTTGTTGATGTTTTTGTGGGAATTAATGTGTCTTTTGACTCCCATTTAATCAGATTGGCACTCTTGAGCTTTCTGTAAAATTGTTAATATGGTTATAAATTTATAACCATATTATTAAAATAGATATTTTGAGTAACTGTTTCCCAGTTTATGTCCTTCATTCCCATTGTGTTTTCAATCCACTTTATAATGCATTACTGTATATAGGATTTAGGTCCCTGTAAATGCCTATATGGCCAGTCTGTTTTTGTTGCAGATGAAGACTAGGAAGATGGAACTTGGATGTGAGAAAAACAGACCAGAGAGTTGTGAATATTTTTGTATTCAGCAATTTGTTATTAGCTATTAGGCACTATGAGAGACTTAGGATTCGGCAATGAACAATGATTCTGGCCCTATCCCTCCTGGAGTTTGTAGTTTAACTGGAGAGCAGATAGACAGGTAACAGTGATTACCACAAGTACTCTTTATAAACAAATATTGAGTGTTATGATAGAGGAAGTACGGGTTCCTTTGGAACGAAATAGTGTATTCTCTACTTATGAGAAGATACCCAACCTAGTATAGAAGCAATCTGGGTACACCTCTCTGAGGAATGCTACTTAACTTTTTAGACTTGAAGGTTAGGAGCTAACTAGGCCAGGAAGTGATGGTGGAAAGAGCATTCTAGCCATGAATGCTGAAGCTACATTGGAAAAACTGCAAGAATTTACCAAAGCTAAAGCATAAGAGGGAGAAGGGAAATTAGGGAGAGATGGAAGTTGGAGAGGTAGATAATATCAGATAATGGAAGGCCTTATAAGTCATTTTAAAGAATTAGGGAAAGGACTAGGTTAAAAATTTGAGGAAGCACTCTTGCCTTGAAGCTAATCAAAGGCGGTTTAAGGGTTTGTTTTTTTTTTTTTATAGATTTTATATTTGACAGAGAGACAGCGAGAGAGGGAACACAAGCAGGGGGAGTGGGAGAGGGAGAAGCAGGCTCTCCGCCGAGCAGGAAGCCCGATGCAGGGAGCCGAATGCGGGGCTCGATGCAGGGCTCGATGCAGGGCTCGATGCAGGGCTCGATGCAGGGCTCGATGCAGGGCTTGATGCAGGGCTCGATGCAGGGCTTGATCCCAGGACCCTGGGATCATGACCTGAGCCGAAGGCAGACACTTAACGACTGAGCCACCCAGGCGCCCCGGTTTAAGGGTTTTAAGTGGAGTTGAGGATCATATTTTGCATTTTAGGAACCTCACTCTGCATACAATGTGGGGAAAAGGCTGAAGGAAGGCTGTTGGGAGTGTGTGAGACCACAGTGATGGACACTAGTGGTAGGAGGGAAGAGGGGGAAAACACAGGATTCAGTGGCGGACCAGATGTGGGAAACTGGGGCAGCCAGAGTTAACAGTATCTCCGAGGTTTCTAGCTTGACCAAATATGATTTTGTGGGTTTATCAGATGGTATTTGTCTCCATTTAACCAGTGGGGGCAATTAAGACATTGTATGACTAGCCCAGGGCTGCTCAGGTTGTAAGTCTGGGAAATAAATCCATTCCTGTCCTCTTTGTAGTTCTATTGGTGTGATTGATAGTGATTTTTTTTTTATTTATTCCCCTCTAAACAAACTATTATCGAAAAATTTCAAACACAATTGAGAGCCAGTGTTTCATCTATACCCTTTTCTACTCCCCCACAACTACTACTGGATTATTCTGAAGCAAGTTATATGTGTATAATTACTCCGTCTACGAATATTTCAGTATATCTCTAAAAGATATGATTCAGAAAATCATAACCACATACTATTATCTCACCTGTAAAAATGAACATAACCAAATAACCAGGCAGTATTCAAATTTTCCTCAGTTGGCATTTTTTTGTTTTTTAAGTAAGCTCTACACCCATCGTGGGGCTTGAGCTCAAGACCCCGAGATCAAGAGTCACATGCTCTATTGACTGAGCCAGCCAGGCATCGTATCCCTCAGCTTTTTCTTTTTAATTTTTTAAGATCTATATATTTACTTGAGAGAGAGAAAGCATGATTTGGAGGAATAGAGGGAGAACTCAGGCAGACTCCATGCTGAGTACAGACGGAGCCTGATGTGGCACTCCATCTTATTACCCTGTTAGGGAGACCTGAGCCAAAACCAAGAGCTGGATGCTCAACCGACTGTGCCACCCAGGCACTACCACCCCCCACCCAAGTTGCTTTTAAATAATTGGTTTGTTTGATTTGGGATCCAAACACAGTCACATATTACATTTGGTTGATAGATCTTTTAATCTACAGTTTCCCCTGAGAAAGGGGGAAATGAGAAAATTCCTCATAATTTATTTGCTGAAGGAACCAGGTTATTTTTCCTGAAGTTTCCCTCATTCTGGATTTTGTTGAATATATCCCTCTGGAATAGTTCTAACATGTTTTAGTTCAACATGTCCCTTGATCCTGTAAGTTGGTAGCTAGGTTGAAGACTTCAAGCATGCTTAGATCAGTTCAGGTTTGATTTCTGAGAGTAGGGACAGTGTGGGGGAGAGGACAAATATAATTCCTAGGTGATGACGTATATTTCCATCAGGAGGCCTATATTTGGTTATCACTGACTCTGCTGTATTAATGGCATGGTTCCATTTTCTCATTAGTGGTTTGCAAATAGCCTTTAATTCTCTAACATTCCTTTTGTTTTGTTTTGTTTTTTAAAATTTATTTAGAGCACCTGCGTGGCTCAGTCTTTTACGTGTCTGCCTTCGGCTCAGATCATGATCCCAAGGTGCTGGGATCGAGTCCTGAGTCAGGCTCCCTGCTCAGCGGGGAGCCTGCTTCTCCCTCTGCCTGCTGCTCCCCCTGCTTGTGTTCTCTCTCTCTCTAATAAAATCTTTAAGAGAGAAAGATTTTGTTTATTTGAGAGAGAGTGCGGGGAGGAGCAGAGGGAGAGGGAGAAGCAAGCTCCACACTGAGCAGGGAGACCGATGTGTGACTTGATCCCAGGACCCCGGGATCATAACCTGAGCCAAAGGCAGGCGCTTAACCGACTGAGCCACCCAGGCGTCCCTCTCTTAACATTCCTTCTTAATTGATTAACTAGAATACCTCTATAGAGAGAAGTAGGGTTTTTTCCCCCAGTTTTCTTTTGAGATATGATCAATATCACTGTGTAAGTTTAAGTTATACAGCATAATGGCTTGACTAGTATATATTGTGAAATGATTGCCACAATAAGTTTAGTTAGCATCCATCACCAGCTCGTTAGATAAAGAGCAAAAAAATTTTTTTTCCTTCTGA